GATGCGTGAGAGAAGTTATTATATTATATAAAATACGCTCTGTTATTAAGTTACTATATTATATAAAATAAGCGCTATTAAAACTTAACGATTATACTATATAACAATTTCCAAATAAAAATATATAATTTATTCACAAGTTAATAATTGTAATATATTATACTGTATTGTATTAGTTTTTCGTATTTTATCACTTTCTATCCGGTTTTTTTTTGGTTTTATCAACTTGATCAGGTTTTTTTTGCTTTATGTCTTTTTCCGCTGCTTTATCATTTTTCTTTTTATTTTTTTTCTCTTCTTTAATTTGATTTTGCTTTTCTCTAAGCTCTTTCAATTGTCTCGCGGTCTCTCTTCGAAAATATTCGTCCTCACTAGCCGCCGCTTTTTCCTCAAAGATCTCTCTTTTTCGTCCATCGCCACTTCTTCGACGTCTTTCCGAATATGTTCTTGGATTATATGATGGATAAAACCTAATTATATCATAAGATTCATTAAATAATATAAAAGATCTTCTTCATCAAAACAAACCATAATATTCGATGTAAAGAACGATCGATTTTAAATTAGCGTATTTTATGCAACAAATAAAATAAGATATAGTAGACATCACTATAGCATATAATTCGTTTTATAAATAATAACAATATATAATAATTCCTTAAATTAATATTTAATTGATAATGCAACAAATAAAATATAATCGTTTTTTTTGTTCGTTATTTAAGTACTTATTATTAAGTTCGATAAAAATGATAATATATCTTAACAAGGTTACATTGTTATTCTGATTCTTTTCGAAATAATCCATTTTGGAGCAAGGTTGCGTAACATGACTTATAGCTCCTTCATCCTAGATTTTTCTTTCTTCCTTTTGCTCTGGAATTGCAATAACTATTGTTGTTCAAAAAAGATTATCAATAATTTTGACATGATTTTCTGGTTATTTAATTTTGATTTTGACAGTTTTTTTGCTGTGAAGTTCCTTCGGAAAAGACATACAATTGTCATTTGGAAATAATTGTTTACTCCTTTCTTATACATGCTGCGACAGAATTACTGATCATAAAAACTGATTTTATCTCCAAATGTGCTACAGATTCACCTACAAGGAAGCCAAATCGTGGGGCATGTGTTTACCAGACGGCTCGTGTACGGGTGCGATCGGGATGTTAATGAACAACGACGTTGACTTTGCGGCGACGGAGTTTATGATGACCTCGGATAGATTAGATGCTATCAGTTTTACATTGCCTATTTACACAACCAAGTAGTATATTCTCTCTTCAAAAATTCTAAATGAGATACATATAGAAATCTAAATTTAATCGAACAAAATTCTAGTAACAAACTTGAGATATCTGATATTTACTCGGGAAAAAATAAATTGACATAGTTTATATATAATTATATATATAATATGTCCATTATATAACATTTTTCTCAGGTAGTTTAAAACACTGTATCTGTAGTAAGCATCAGAACACGCAAAACATTAAAATATGTGCGAAATTGATAAGGTTTTAAAGGACATTTATTAGTTGGTTCATAGACAGACGTATTAAATTTAATACGTATTTATTTAAATACTTTAAATTGTGTTAAGTTCATTAAAAACAAATGTACTCATGAGTTTATATGTAAGATGTCACTGACATGTCAGATCATGATGTAAAAAGACTAAATGTAACTGACATGTCAGTGGCTACGTTTACACCGTGCGTTTAGTCCGCGATCTATACGATAGGTGTCTTTGTTTAATATACAGGATAAACAAGGACGTCTATTGTATAGGCCGCGGCCTAAATGCACGTGTAAACGTAGTCACTGACATATTAGATCATGATGTAAAAAGATCAAATGTAACATTGCGTATAATGACAGCTTTTAACTGTTTATTAGATACGTTATGGACTTTCTACAACAAATCATTTCCTAAGCTTTAAGTCTTAAGGTGAACGCACGTAGAAGTAGAAGTAAGCAGCAAGCAGTAAGACGTATGAAGTAGGCAATTAACATTGCCAGTATATCTATACATATGAAAGATGGCGGTCTCATTGCTTACTGCTTACTGCTTACTTCTACTTCTACCATATGTACGTTCACCTTTAAACTGTAAGAAATTGATCATGGTCGATTATTTTTCTCACATTCGACTGCGATTGGTCAATTTCTTACGGCTGAAAAACTTAAAACTTAGGTAATGGCTTATTATAGAAAGTCTATTAGATTGTGTCGAGTTCATTAAAAATAAATGTACTCGCGAGTTTATGAGCCAGATCATGTAAGTCAGGTAAAACCCATTCTACAATTACGTAAGAGTAGTTGTAAGTGATTGTAGTTGTAAGACTTAATCAATCACAATTAAATATGAGGAAAATATTCGATTGTCATTAGTCAATTCTTACAACTACAACCACTTATAACTACACTTACGCAATTGTGGAATGGGCTTAACAAAATTAAAATCCATTATTTATCGATAAACTAGAAGCCTATACCGGTCGAAGCTAGATCTTTAATGCTTTAAATAATTTTTATTGTGAATTATATATATGCTATAACTTGCATAAATATCATATTTGTAGTCCTCCAAACTGTGCGCTGAATTTGGTTTTCCGGACTTAAGCTGAGTCCCTATGGAGAAAGAAATAGCGGCACGGAATCAGAACGGAATATTGATAGAAAAGAGATATCCTCATCTGATCTCTTTTCTGTTAATATTCCATTCTGATTCCGTTCCGCTGTTTCTTTCTCCATGGGAACGCAGTCTTATAAATGCAATTAAACTACTGGAATAATACGAATTAATTAATTGACAATTTTGATACAAGGCATCATATTAGCAAGATGTTAATGTGCTGAAAAACTGTAAATAAATTTATTGCGAAAAATATTACCTCGACTGGAAGTCGAACCCGGATCTCTTGTATTCTGTAAGAGCATCCTAAGTCATTAGATTACCGAGGCTTATTTACAGTTTTTCAGCACATTGATATCTTTCTAATATGCCGTGCATCAAAATTATCAATTAATTTAATTCGTATTATTCCAGTAGTTTAATTGCGTTTATAAGTCCGGAAAACCAAATTCGCAGTTTGAAGGACTACAAATATGCAAGTTATAGCATATATATAATTCACATTAAAAATTATTTAAAGCATTAAAGATCTAGCTTCGATCGATATAGGCTTCTAGTTTATCTTCTAGATTGTGTTCTCACATGTCTAAAAATGAGATTCTTATTGTCTATTATTTATATTCCTTCTGTTTTAAGATGCCGTGCGTATATTAAAAGGCCTGCATCGTCTGATGTAAAATGGAATGCCTACACGGCACCTTTCTCCACAAATATCTGGCGTGTCATCGCTTTTTTCATTGTACTTGCGAGCGGAACGATTGTGCTCATTCAGAGATTATTTGCAGTAACATCTCCATATCTTCGAAATAACAACCGTTTGAGATTTACAGAAATTTTGTTTTTTGTCACAGGAGCGTTTTGCAATCAAGGTAACTTCAACTTTTACGCGCCAACCCCTGCTCGAGTGCTTGCACTTTTTTTAGTATACTAATTTTTTTTAAATATATGACCGCTATGTTTTTATGAAAAATAATATCAGGTATGAAACAATCGACACTGGATCCTGTGAGAATTGTGCATTTTATAATTCATCTATCGGCTGTCGTGATTGTAGCCGCGTATTCCGCTGCCTTGATTAGTTTCCTTGCTGTTAAAACATTTATCATGCCCTTCACGACTATGGATGGTCTTTTGAAAGATAAGACCTATCGTTTCGGCGTGGTCAGAGACTCGGCAGATTTTAGTTTTTTTCAGGTGCTTAAAATAATTCTCAGATTATCTTTGCCATAAAATCAGAGATCAGAAAAAAAGTACATTACATGTTTGAAGTAAAAATACGGTAACAGTATATTTTATAATTAAATATGTTTTCTATTCATATATAAGATTATATAAAGTATTAATTTATACGTTTTTGTGAATTTTTCTAAAAACGAATTAATCTCTTTTCTTTCTCTCTAGCCCCTTTTAACAAAAATTATATTTAAGAAAAGCTTCATGTACGATACATTGATTTATGATAATTTTATTATGACAGAATACATCGGATAAAATAATGAACGTGCTGTTCGATGAATTACTAATGAAGGAAACTAATTTACCGAGTAATTACTTGGACGGCTTAGAACGCGTTTGTAAGGACGACAAATATGCCTTTATGACATTGGATAGTATGGCAATGTTGCTACAGCAAAAAGTTGATTGCAAATTGGAGCCATTGGATGTCATCACGCAGTCTACCATAGCAATGGCTTTGCGATCAAACAGCCCGTATCGTGGTATCATTAACGCAAAGTGCGTGCAAGCTTTATTAACATGAATTAGAATGATTAAAAGTTGTTCTAATAAAAAGATTTTCGTTTTATTTGTTGCAGTATTCTTCTTCTGAGAGACAACGGGATCCTGCAGCGATTGCTGGAGACACAATGGTCGGTTCAACTAAGCGGAGAGAGTGTACGTATTCTTCTCATACTGTATAGATCATTCAGAAATATTGTAGCAACATTGCAAATATTGCAGCAATGCTGCTGTAAATTTTTGTGCTGTACGAGTTATAAATTTTGCTGAATTATTATCCGATAGGCTGATACATTTATCTTTGATCGCAGGCAAAATCATCATGGAAATCGGTCGAGATGGGCGATATTGTGCCACTGTTACTTTTTATAATCGCCGCGGTGTTCATCAGCTGTCTCATCTGTGTTATAGAACGCGTTATTTTCATGAGCTTTTTCAATCGAATCAAGAAAAAAGTGAATAAGCCGCGGGTGTAAACTGAAAGTGTAAATAAGAGCGAATGCTACGTCGCTAGAATATTATAACTTATTTAATAAAACCTGACAAAGCCCCTAGATGTTTAAAATTAACGTTTTTCATTATACTGATGTCCGTCTTCTATTTTTCCTGGTTTATAGATGCAAAATAAGTAGCGGATAAATTATTTCGAATTTTGAATTCTTCGTGTTGTGTTTGCTATCTCATGTAGCTTTATTTACATCGGTAGGACGACTTAAGTATAAACAGTCGAGGCAAAAACTCCTAGGATTTGCTGATTTCCCTGGCAGTCATTCGCGAGTCATCAACGAACAACATCACGCGTTATATCTTGAGTGAGTCTTTCCACCGAATATTTGTGATATTTTAATTTTTATCATCAGATTAATAATATAATTAAAGTATTTGATATAATTAAAATATAATATTCTAACATATATTTAATACGTGTAGTTATTATAAATTATATACCTACATTACACAGTTTATGATATTATTTGAAACATATAGAGAGGTGAAAGCCATATTGGTGTCACTTAATTATGATTTTGAGAAATAAAAGATTTTTTCAATATTTGCTTCAGTAGACTAATAACTTCAAGTTGATAGATTTAGAAAAGTGATTTACATTACTATCACTTTTATCTCTCCATATCATATACCACAAATATGAAATATAAGGTAAATGTCAATGATCGGACACGTACCTATGTCTGGACATTTACACAAAACTTTATATTTGTTTATATTATTATTAATCTCAAACGTTTTTAAAATAATCTTAAAATACATTTAAATTATAATATGTAATAAAAAAAGCATTTGAAATTAATAATAATAAATCTTATGTATGTGTCCGGACATAGGTATATGTCTGGTCACTGGAATATTTATCTTATTAGAAATATTATATTAATTATTATTAATTATTGATTAATGATAAATTAATTCACGTATGTTTTTCTAGACACCTAATCACGTCGGTGAAGATTCCTCAGACGGCAGAATTGAACTCTAACACGAAATATAACACAATTATGAACGAGAAAAATATATACACAACGAAAAATAGCAAATCCTACGAATTCAAGAACAGCGAAAAGAAGAAAGGATTGTTACTGAGAAATACAGAAAATAATGCAGTTTGTAATACGACGATGGTGCAACAGTACTCTTCCATCAGCAGAGGAAAATTTCAGATTTATTCCGACGATAGCAATGAAAGTGGTCGATCACGGTCTCGTGTGAGAAAAGACGTACGTAAAAAAGAGATAAGAGAAAGGCAAGATAACGAAGTACTCAAAAAAACAATCGAATCAACTAACAAAGTCGAGAAACTTAATTCTGATTTATATATTTCACGCAGGTAAGAAAGATGTTTTGCAGAAAATTAGTTCCGTTGTAAAAACTTAAAGATTAAACTTGATGCTTCTTTCTAACAATATGTATATATTAACAATATATATATATTTACATACAGTGTGGCTCCGAACGTTTCAGCCAAACTTTGAAATTTTATAGGAAATTCAATTTTGAATAAAAAATTTCCTATAAACGTGCATTGAAAAATGCGCTTCGTTACGAAATTATCGTTCAAAAACCTCTGTATGAAATAATAATTATTTTATACATTTTTATAAATAAAAGGGAATGTATGCACTTTTTAACAAAAAATATCAAAACGAGAGTTGTAAAGAATTAAATTTCTAATAAAATGTCGAAATCTGGCTGTGAAATGTTCGGGGCAATCCTATATATATAGTACATATAAAATAAAAAAATCTTAATGAGATAATGTAAAAAAATTGTTTTTTTTTATTAGAGCACGTTCTTCAAGTAACTGTCGGCAAAATGCTCTTTTAGATAAAATCAACATGAACAGCAATTTATTTAACAATCGAAGGTAACTATATGTATAAGTAAACAAATTTTCAATAAATATATGTTTTTTTATACACATAGAGAGTATAATGTATAATTTATTTATATATTATTTACTTTAAAATACAGAACAAAAACATATCGCATGGATAATTGTATAAATTTTATCTCCTAAATTATAAAAAATTAAAGATGATATTCATATTTTGCTATATTACATCTAACTTTATGTTTACACTTGTTTATATCTTCTCTTCTGTTATAAAGCAAAATATAATGTTTTTTTTCTATATTCTCTGTGCTTTTTATAAAACTTTATAACACTGTTTTCAGTTTTTCATAATTCAAACCAATCAAATACACAACGAAAAACGTTCTTTCTTCTTATTTTATGCTATAAATTTAGCCCTTGGAATATTGATACAAAAATGTTAATTGAAAATAATATATAAAATAATATGCTATTTATAAAACAGTTCGCTTTGTTGTTAAAGGAGCAAAAATTAATATACAAATATTACACTATTTTTTAATTAACGTCTACTTATATATGTATACTTGTTTTATTAATGACTATTTTTATATTTTATGCTATATTTATCATGACATTAATTGATTATGTTTTATTCAGAGCGCATTCCGAAAGCAGAGGAATTTCGTTGCAATATGTACAAAGCAGTGTTGTTCAATTACCCAATATTAAAAAAATTAAACATCTTACAGATGATGTTAAAAGACGAACTTTTTCTAGTATTCAAATGTGGAAAGATAAAATGAGGAAATCATGTAGTAAGTATATTTTAAGAGAGTATAAGAAAAATATGTATGCGCTTATATTAATTACGCGAAGAAAAATTTTCTTTTACTTGTAAATCTTTTCAGCTGGTACCGTGCCCAAAAATATGATGGCTAATACAAATTTAAATAATAAAACTCTTTCATTGGTTGGTATCAATAAAATTAATTCCAGAACCAACTTGCAAAAGAATTCTATTACTGGATCGATGAATTTGCAACCTAAGATATCACAAAATCATGCGAAAAATCTGAATGAAGGTATTCAACAAGTCCAAAATGTCGATTCTTTGAAGAATGCACTTCAGCAGATATCAAATGAGATTGAGATATTTCTGCAAAATAAGTTACCTTTAACAGCACAAAATGATACTAACAAGAGGTAAATCATAAAAAACCTAAAAATAAAATAAAATTAATCTCTTTCATTATCATATATTATTTAATTATTAATTAATATATAAATTTGTTTCTATAATAAATTACGGTAAAGCAAGCACGCGGAACACGCTTTGCCGAGTCTTAAATTGTTGCAAACATCTCTCTTTTTTAGAAACTTTATTTCTGAGAACGATGACAATAATAATCTATTAGGCGCTACACCACTTTATAGCTCTAACAGCGTAACACCTTCAGATGGCTCTTTCTTCCTGCCATTAACTCCAACAAAGGTAAAATAAATGTAATATGTATAAACAGCATAACAATATATGTTCATGCTGTTAAAAGATTAGCGTCGTGATTTTTTAAGTACAAATTGATATTAGATTAAAATGCAAATTAAATATGCTTTTAGAATAGGCTTGCAATTACTCATTGTCAGGCTTGTTGCTATAGTTTCAGTATTGCTATAAAGTTTCAGTATTAATATAAATATATTATAAATAAATTATCTTATATCATTCACTCGTTGTGATATTTAACAATGGTTTTATCAAAAAGGTGCATTACGAAAAATGTGTAATGACACGAAAATTAGCGATTAAGAAGGAGAACGAGTTTGATGTTATTTGCGAAACACCGTACGAACGTGATTACTTGGAAGACATATCAGAGACGGAACATAAGAGGGATGATAACGCTCCGAGGCTTTCCTCTCATTTTCTGCGTGAAAATGTAAACGCAGAACAGAGGAGAATCGTCGTAGGATATATTATTCGTCTTGGCGTAAGTGTAATGTAGTATAGTTACGGACATTTTTGATGTTAACCCGTAAGTGACACCTGGGTGCGGATTCGCACCAGGAAAAATTTCCAATTTGTGAATTTTGATTTTACTTAACACGCAGTTTTGAATGAATAACATTTTGTTTTTCGAAAATTCAATGTTGCCAATCGATTGGTTCAAAAGTTTTACATTGAAAAACATAGGTTTTACTTCAATTTCGTTTTTAACTTTTAAAAGAGATATAAAACATTAAAAACATTTAGTGCGAATTCGTATCCAGATGTTCTTTACGAATGCTCAAACGGGACGTATCCTTTACGAATTAATGTAGTGTTAAAAATTGGAAAGTGATATAAATATTTGTGTTAAAATTGTAAATTTACAAAAATAGTTTTTATCTCTATTAATGACAAGAACAAGCCATTTAGATGTCTTTTATTACTTAGATTACATAGAACAACAAAACGTATTTATCAAAATTATATCAATCTCGATCTCTGTTGTACGTATAATTACAGTCACTTTCAGGTACACTGCTATTATTCATCGCATGTCATTTATCAGACTGTCAAGCTATTCAATGTAGCTATTGATCGAATTCATGTGAAAACTAATGATATACAATTAATGGGTTTAGCGTGTCTTTGGATAATTCTCAAGCAAGATGCACCTAGTGATAAAATACCATCGGTAATAAAACTTTTCGTCCACAGGAAAGATTAAAAGAGAATGTTGCCACATAACTAGTTGATTAAAATATATAATATTACAATTTTAATATAAATTTGTTAAATATCTAATGGAATAAAGTAATCTTTTTTAGGCGACTGTAATTCTGGAATTGGCGAAAGATTTATACAGTAATCAAGAAAAACATTTGTTAAAATATGAGAAGAAGATTCTCTGCGCCGTTAAATTCAACACACGATTCGCTGATCCGTTCTCGTTGCTTTCATATTATATATTGAATGTAAATCAAGACAGTCAATGTAATATTATTAAGCCGAGTGATATCGCGTGTATCTACTTTTGCGGTAGTTATATGGTAGTTATAAACACAAGAACTATATAGCGATTCAATTTTTAATACACAAACTGTACACAGAAATAGATAATCTTTTTTTACAGATCGATTCATCTATGCTAGATGAAAACTTGTGTGAAACTCCGGCGTATATAATAGCAATAGCTGCAATAGAGTTGTCGCTTCGTATTGTATATTTAAGCGATGTTAACGTGAATCAAGAATGGTACCAAGTTTGGAGAAACAAACAATCGCTCATGGAGTAAGAAAAAGATTAGCGAATGTGCAAAATAGATTCCCGCTTTTTGTCTTCAACGGATATACTCGTAACATTTTTCTTAAACAACAAACATATTAATCTTGCAGTAAAGAAAATATAATTTGGCACAATCTGCAAGAAGAAATTTATTAATTTGAAATAAATTAATTAATTAATTTGGAATTAGTTAATTAAGTAATTTGAAAATGATATACCTAAATTTCTATTTTAATTGTAAATATACATAATTGATTTTTATATTTATTAATAATGAAAACACTGCCCTTGATATTAGGTATTAATTAATTTAAAATGAATTAATTAATTAAGAATTAATTAATTTAAAATTCGTAAAACTCTAATTCACAATTCATTTATTTTTAGATGGGAAGAAAGAATGCTGAATTCTACGAAGCAGATTATAATACGACGTACTGTAGAATATAAAGACTTTGGTTCGAATATTATATACAAGAAATACATGCGTAGCAAACACGGTAGAGTTACCAATTTTCTTCACAATAAACTGAAGATTGTTCGGAAGATTGTCTTGTGAAAAATTAGGCGCAATGCCAGTTAAAGATACTACTTGTCCGCTATCGATGGACATTAATGGATCTCTTACTACTCAATGAGAAGAGTAGGAGATTCACACATTAAAAGATCATTAAATCTCTGACTGTCACATCGTCAATATCATTGGAAGAGCATTTACAAAGCGCAATATACATGATCGTGATCAAGAGCGCCAGAAAGGGACACTTATTGGATAATTGTTGAATGCTGCTTAGACATGTTATTTATTTTGTTATCAAATACATTTTATATTCATTATATCGCGCTGGTCGCGTTTACGTTTTAAAAAATTTGCTTTCTTATATTGAAAATATTTATAAAAAGATACTTAAAATATATTTAAAAAAAAATTTTATAAAGATGATGTAGGAAGCAATGTAATGTACATGCATGCTCAGAAAATATATTTTTTATTATCGAAAATTTAAAGAAGCAAGCGTTTGTGATTCAAGTCTCCACGCTCAATATTATTCCTTAAAAGATTGGTCGTGACATGACATTGAAATGTGTAATCTCTATCGCGGTAATATGCTACTTGTCAGTGCGTAAACATAAGCGAGGTTATCGACAGTATTTTATTTATCTAACAGTCCTCTCGGGTTATTCATATATTATGACTTAATAATGATTTTTCAGCAACAGCAACAGAGTAGCAATATCACATACTATAATCAAAAACTATCAAGTAGTGTTCAATTCTTAATCGTCAAGTTTTAATGAGTGCCGTAGTCTTGTTGAATATCTGCCCAAGGATTCCACTTGTCCCACGTGTTATCGATGGACATTAGTTCCTTCACGTCATCCTAAAGATAATGACATAACATTTACTTTTCATACAATAAACAGCTATTTAAATTAATTGTATATGAGCATCGAATTTGAAAAACAACATGTTGCAAGGAAGATGTAATCATTTCTTATGACACTATATATAATAAATTGTTAGCTTTGAATTTTTCATCTAAAATATAATTTCATATAGTATATTCTTGTTATTCATAATAGTATATTTTTGCATTTATAATAGTAGTACAATATTTAATGTATTAGATTTAATATATCCTATTTGTGATACACAATATAAATTCGACTAGACTTTAATTATAATTAAATAATAATTATTATTTTAGCCAAATAGGAAATGATGACCTTACCTTGAATAATACGTTGGGCTTGTCGCCCCAGGCACCAAAGAGGCGTAGCAGATCCGGATTTTTGGAGTACAATGTACTCGCAGCCAAAATGCCATGTTTCAATTCTTCGAGAGCGTTCGGACCTTTCCCGGCTGAGCTAACAATTATTCTTGGTGGCTCCAAACCTAAATTACAACGTTCCCATTCGTTGATGGGCGCTTGACCACCATTTGGACAGAGCAAGATGTAATCTTCGAGTTTGCCAGCGGCATCTTTCTCATTATCTATAATTTGATATATAACGTCCAGACATAAGTATAATTACATGTGTAATTTATTTAACACAATTGTGTTTACCGAGTTGCTGCAAAGCTGTCAAAGGTAGGAACGCAACGTCACCCTTGCCATCCTTCAAACATCTGAAAGAAATTAAACATTTTCTTTAACATATTGTCTCTTTGGAGATAATAAAATTCTCCGTAAATATATTATTCTTATTATCAAATCGCAAATACTTTACGCAATTTATTTTATTTAAGTAAAATCGAGTAATTCTTATTTTATTTATATATAAATTAGCTAAAGATGTTTGCACAAAAAATAATAAAGGGATGACATTACCTGAGTGCTCCTTTTCCGCCGTTGTAATATTCAGCATTCGTAGGTCTGCATTTCGTTGCTTCTTTTGCCTGATCATCATCGGTCTTGATATTACCAACACACAGTTGACAGGATTTTGAATTGAGAGGTGCACCAGGTGCACAGGATTTAGAGAAGAAGGTATTTATTTCGCTAGGTTCGTTAATAAGGCCGTTAAGTTTGAGTATGCGAGCTGGTGCATTGTAACCAGCAAAGTCGCCCACGTAACCGCTGTGACAAGATAGTTTGTCTTTAAGGTCGCCTGTGAATGAGAATATTGACAGTTATGCATGAAAGAAATTTGTATAGGCTTTTTCAAATTTATGTAGAGCAAATTTTTCTGCAAACTTTTTTTAATCATTCGAATAACACATTTTTTCTTAAAATTTTGCCTCGATATCGTTATTTTTGTTAAATTAATATTTTTATTAATGTAAAATTAATTCCTATTTTTAATTGCTCTTATATGTTTCATCACATAATTTTACGGAGTTTATAGATTGCAGTATCATACCTAATCCATTTATAGAGGAGCCACTCTTGACAACAGCAAGTGCTGGTCGCTCACTGAGTTTCGTGGATCCCTCACCATATGTCTCAGCGATGATTGGTTTTATGTTGTACTCATTAATTGCACGTTTTACTGATCCACCGTCGATTACTGTGATATCCGCTCCGTTATCCCTGACAGCCTTCAAGCACTCAGTCTCGTCTTTTTCCAGTATGCAATCAAATCGGGGTCTGGCGTCTCTATATAGATTATGATACATATAATATATATATATCAAAGTATAATAAGAGTGTTTGCATTTTCATAATCTAATCAATGTAATTTCTATCAAGGCTTAAAATCGGTTTCTCTTATTTATTTACGTTCTCGATATTTAATTAGCAAACATTGTTGGATTTTAGATAATAGACAATTATGACACGAATTTTAATTTTAATTAGATTTAGATAATAGGACAAGAAATTAAATTTGTTTCAAAACGAGACACCAAGTTAAATTGATTGAAAATTGACATTTACGTGTCTCGTGACTATACCTGGAGAAAGCGGCTCTAGCGAGGTTGCGACACTTGTTCAACGCATTTTCGTCCCAAACACACCAACGAGCGTTCCTTTCCGGAGCTCCGGAATTCCTCTCGATCACGTCCATGTATTTCGCGCTTTGCAAATGCTCATCCGGTGATACTGGCGGTGCAGCGACAGCCAAAGTCTTCTCGTTGAGAAGCAAGAGATCTTCCCACCAATCTGCTTTCTCATTTTCGCCAAGCTGACCCAGCTGCGTCAATTCCTGAAAAACGTTCCAAAGTTAAATCGCAATCTGTTCAATGCAGTGTAACATGTTATTTAAAAAAATAATTTCTTAATTAAATCTTTTTTTTTAGAATTCTTGGTGCACTTCATTTCTATTATGATAATTAATTTATGGTAATATTTAATAATGTTAATTAACTATTTAATAATGTGAATTTTTGCTAATATCTGAGAAAATTAATTATTGTTTTCTAGAAGTTAAAATTAATGATAAAATATTTATCACAAATTGTAATGTACATCTTTTAAAATTTCTGGTACTACGTCACGTAATATAGGAATGCTTTTGTTCAGACAATCTCATTCTTATTGCATGTAACACTCAATTAATTATTAAAAACATGTAAAATAGATTCTTAGGAAACAAATCACGCACTCTTTGGATTGCTTCCGCATTGTTGGCATCAGCCCCATTGGTCATGTATCCCTGCCACGGTCGGGCAGCCCACGTGCATGGTTTCGTATCTGCGTCGATAGGCACTTTGCTGCCGTCTGGGCAGAAGTACCGAAAATCAGCCGGGTTTTCGGATGTTGACATTGCCGGAGTAACTCCGACGGGCAGACCGAAGAAACGTTTCACATAGATGACTTTCGTCCAAGCGACGTCGCCGCCGTTGTGAGCCAGACAACGTAGAGCTCCCTCGTATCCAGAGTATATGTCCGGATAATCGCACACATTTGGTTTCTCGCATAGAGCACACATGTTGCTGTACGTCTCCTCTGAAAGAACGAAAGTAATAGTAAAATAACACAGGTAGAATAAATAGGACAACATGTAAAAAATGTAACTCTTGCTTTAATTAATAGTATATATTTCAAATAAATTTAATGTGCAGGACGTGAACTTAATTAAGTTCTCTTCAACTACAATATCATAGTAATAGTCAAATGTTTATAAAATATCTAATTAAAAAATTAATTCCATTTTTCTCGATTAGCCTTTTTAATATTTTTTAAAAAGTATTTTTTTAAGTAGAATATTTATTTATAAAATCCACGAATTCTAAATATGTGTCAAGTTTCATAAAGATAAAAATAAATATTGAATAAAACTCGACGCATCTATCAATATGTATACTTTAATTATTTCGCCATATGTGGAAGAGAAAAGTCAACTGCAATCAGAAGAAATAGTTACGCAACGTAATTTTACTTTCTACTTAACGTAACGCCTTCATTCGCAGCGCAGTTTGTTGAGCCACGGTCACCTTAACTCGCACGATTGCAAATTGACTTCAAATAAACACAAGAAAATTAGTGTCTCGAAAGAAGCGAGTCGATCTAAGTATACGCGTTATTTCAATTGATGATATTGTTTGCTGCACCTATATGACACAATCGCCGCAAATTTCGAAGATTACTGCCACTTACTGAGCCTCTGATTGATGGTAGGATCGGGTGACCATGTGCCCACCAAGCAACCTTTGTCGAAGAGTGTGCTTAGAGCGCGAAGTTCATTCTCGCGAGCGGAATATTCCGGGTTGTTGATGTCAGTCAACACGCCCATCGCGGTGAGCTTCGTGATGGGAATTTTGTAGCCGACATTACGGCCCACACCAGTGTGGCAGGACTTAAGACCTTTCAAGCCCTGAACGTTATTAATGTCCAAGTCCTTGTGTATTACGGCTACCGCTTCGTAACGATATATCGCATCAGGTTCTTCCTTCGTCCTCACCTACAGAAAAAAAAACATATTTTTCTCAACAATTTATATCATAAATTATATTCTAAACTAAATATCGAACATTCAATCGACTTGCAGTTTTAGAACAAAAAATGTATTTGCCAAATTTTTGCATAAATATATTTCGACTGAAAATAGGATTATTTTTCTTATTTAATTTATTTTTATCAGTCTAATTTCGAGTTATAACTGATTAAATATCTTATTCTCGAAGGATCACAAAATTATATCTGCAAAATATTTTAAGTTAACAAATAATATTTTTTAAAAATAGTTTTTTTTCTTTAAATAATCCAATAATTTTTTAAAAATATATTTTTACAATGCAAATTATACATTTACATGATACTATTTCTAATTTTTTATTATAATTTCTTTTCATTTTAGAAATAATATTTATCGGCAAAAAGAATTGCATTTTTTAGTTTTTTTACA